ACACAACAAAATGGAATCAGACAAAAAGCTATTAAATGGTGCTAAGTGTTAGCATAATTCCTAGCCTGATGCTTAGCTAATAGTTAATTAAGGCGGGCATGATAATGGGCATGTGTGGATGGGAAATGCTTAAAGGAGCATTAATGGTTTTAGAGACTGGTGGTTGCCGGATACGGGAATCAGGCACACTCCCCATCTGCTTGGGAAGAGAAAGACACAGATGCCACTCAACTAGAGAAGACAGAATATGAGTTTCCTAGTTCCTCTGGTTCCACATGCTCAAAATATACTAGAACAGTTGTAGATATTTCTCAGATATTTCCCAACACAGTTCATTTCAGGATTCTAAGTGCCTCCCCCTAAACTGCAAATCCCAGGATTCCACAGGTGTCGTGTACCTTCATGTCATTTCCAACAACCCTAAGGCAAACCTAACATGGGGATTTCTTGGCATGTTCCTTCAGAGGGGGTTTGCCTTGGCCTTCCTCTGAGGCTGAGAGAGTGGGACTTGTCTTAAGGTCACTGAGTGGGTTTCCAAGGCCGAACCAGGAATTGAACCCTGGTCTCTAGAGTCAAAGTCCAGTGCTCAAACCACTACACTATGCTGTCTCTCTGTGGGCTAAAAAATAAAGATATAAAACTGAGCACCAAAGTTAGAATCATCCAAGCCATAGTATTCCCCATCACCATGGACGGATACGAGAGCTGGACAGTGAAGAAAGTGGATAGGAAGAAAATCAATGCATTTGAGATGTGATGCTGCAGAAGATTGCTGAGGATATCATGGACAGCCAAAAAGACAAACAAATAAGTATTTGAACAGCTCAAGTCTGAACTCTCCTTGGAAACCAAGCTGATGAAACTGAGGCTACTGTATTTTGGCTACATCATGAGAAGAGAAGACTCACTAGAAAAGACAATAATGCTAGGAAAGGCAGAGGGAAGTAGAAAGAGAGGAAGGGGGCTACATGATAGATGGATGGACTCTATTAATAATAATCATCATTATAATTATTATTATTATTATTTGTATCCCACCCCTCTGCAGAGCGATCGGGGTGGCTTACAACATTAAAATTTCCATATTAAGGGGGTCACAGGTATGAATTTATAGGACCTAAGCAGAGCAGTGAAGAACAGGGGGTCTTGGAGATATCTCATCCACAGAGTTGCCATAAGTCAGGGACAACTGGAAGACAGTTAACAACAAATGCATGCCTGGGTGTGCATGTGCAGGACATCTGTCTGGGGACCTCCAAAGGAGCAGAGTTTTGCCTGAGCCGCTTCACTGCTAATTGAAGTGAATGAAGTTAAAACAGTTGGAACGGTGGCGGTGGCGGCGGCAGCACACACAAGTCAATGATCGCCCAAGAGGTCATAACCTGGAAGCGGCTATCACAAGTGCGAATGCTCAGGGACAGGAGCTGGGATTGCAAGCTGGAAAAGTAGCTTGGCTTATGCAGGGGGAGGGATTTTGTTTCCTCTTGCAGCTATTTGCTTTAAAGATCTGGAGGGATTTGGAGTCGGGCAACGCTCCGATCCCTGGCTCAAAGCCAACATTATTTCCAACTGGAGTTGCTTCTGGATTAAAATGTCTGACTTGGCAACCTTGCTATTAATTTCAGATAAAAAGAGGCTGCAATTCTCAAATGTCAGATGCAACAGGCGCACGGGTGCTTGTGTCAATTGATGGGGCCATCCAACACCATGAAGCAAGAGAGATGAGCCTGTCTGATGACAGTTGGGGCTTCAGGAGATGGTTCATTCAAAACAGCAAGCATCGATACACTTTCTAGGTACCAATCCTCATCAGATGTTGGGTTTAAAAATTCTTCCCTAGGTACTTCTCTGCTATTGCAATAGGTGGGAGCAAATGTGGAACTATAGAGGGAGCGTGCAAAATGAGGACATTGCTCCCCAAAATGACATTTCTGCCCTGTCCCAAAAATATTTTCCTTCAGTTTCCAAATTTTTAGCATTGCAATAAAGTACGGCTTGAGTTGAGCATTGAGGAAAAACAGTGTAGGCATCCGAAGAAAGAAGGGCAGGCCAAGTGACTAAGAACAACACAGCAAATGGAAGAGTTATAGGTGGGAAAGATTTTTAATGTCTCACTCTAGAAAGTCTCGAAAATTTGGGGGGAAATGTGTGTGTGTACAGGGGAAGACCAAATTTACCAGCCCAAGTTTTATGAGCAGAACCAGAAAAAATGGTAAAAACTCCCGTAGAAGTGCACTTTCTGAATTATCTTGACACTTTGCAAAATTCTGTCCTAGGCTGCATCCACACTGCAGAAATAATGCAGTTTGACACTGCTTTAACTGCCATGGTTCAATGCTATAGAATTCTGGGGATTATAGTTTGTCGTGGGACCAGAGCTCTCTGACAGAGAAAGCTAAATATCTCACTAAACTACAAATCCCAGAATTTCATAGCATTGAGCCACAAGAGTTAGGTAGCATAAGGCAACTGAAAATATAAACCCTCCTTGGTTTTCTAATCCTTGCATTTTGACAGAATCCTCTCGGACCACTACGCCAGGCTGGTTCTTCACTCATGTGTTACCATTGTACCACAAAAATTCACCAGCAGGAGCTCAGTTGCAAAAATCATCTGGGGTCGGTCCACATTGCACCTTGCCTAGCACCTGTTGACCATTCCTGATTTAAACCAAGTAGATTGCATGATGGCCAATTTATTTTACACAATTGGTTCTGGTTTTCCTAATCAAGATTGTGGGAGAAGAGGGAAAATGATGAACACAGAAATCTACCCTCCATCCCCTGCCCCCTATGCATGCATGCATTCACTGGCGCATCCCAAACTATGGCATTTATAGGTGTCTGGGACCAGAGGTTCTGGAAATGCCATTCCTCCAGTACTTTGGTCCAACTGTCCAGAGGTTTCTCTGTGCTTAGCCGTATGTAGATGAAGGAGAAAATCCCTCACCAAATTCATTCAAACAAAATCTTCCAGAAGGAACCGAATTCTTTGGGGGCAAAAAATGGGGAGGAGGGACAATTAACAACATCCAATCGAATTTATTGATTTGCTTTGGCTTTCCAAGCACCACAGGGCTTCTAACAAAAGCTTCTGTACAACTTTCTTTTAATCTCCGTATGTGCAAATGAGGAGAGTGCCAAAGTGCGGTGCGATTCACACTCGCAGCTTCCAGAGAGGCCGATAAGTCAATAAGAACAACACTGAACTCCTGAGGGAGGAATTAGAACAGTTTTCTTCTGAAGTCTCCAAACTCAGAATTGAAGCCATGAGATCATTACCCCCAAAGGCCATTTGGGTGACTATATCCAGAAATCGACCGATATCTCCAGCTGGAGTGAAAAGATGGCAGAAGGCTCCTTAGCAGCAGAATGAGGTCCATGTAGCTTGGATTGATGCATATTGATGGAAAGTTTTTGCACTGTGTTCTATTATTTTTAATTGTTTTAATATTGTTAATATAGTTGTCCCTCCCATTCGCAGACTTTGAGTCTGCGGTCTTGCTCTTCATGGGAGGGACAAGTGGCAATAGATAAAATGGCGGTGCATGCCCATGCACGGCCCCGTATTCACGCCATAGGCGCACATGCCATTAATTTCAACGGGGCTCAAATATTTGCGAACTGCCATTTTCACAGGGGAGTCCGGAACAGATTCCCCCCAAAATTGGAAGGGGCAACTGTTGTTTAATTCTACTTTAAGGTTGATTCTTTGCATGGTTTCAGCTGTATTAGGAAGAACTTCTCTATGGTAAGAACTGTTTGACAGTGGAATAGGCTGCCTTGGTGGAAGTAATGAACTGTCCTTTTTTGGAGGTCTTTAAACAGAGGTTGGTTGGGCATCTCTCAGGAGTGCTTAAGTTGTGAATTCTTGCATACCCGGGGGTTAGATTAGATGGCCTTTGTGGCCCCTTCCAACTCAAAGAGTCAATGATTCTGCATTCTACTCATTTTAACTTGTAAGCTGCATGAGTTAATAGAAGAGTTCAGAGGGCATGTAACTTATTGCAAAAGTGAATTATTGCTTTGGATGCTTCCAGGAAAAGCAATTCACAGTCCTTCCTTCCTTTCTGCCTGCCATTCTTTTTTATCATGCAGTTGTGTATTTATGGCTATGGTGAAATGTTTGCATTCAGTTCACAGTTGCACAAGCAGATTTCCACAAGTATAGCCATTACACAAGAGCCAATGCAGCGTAGTAGTGTGAGTGGAGGAAAAGCTGCTTCAGGACTCTAGGGAGGTTGTGGGTCCCCCATTAGTGGAAATAGTAAAATAAATATTTTTTTAAAAAAAAATAGTGGGAGAAACATCTGTTCAGAGGGCACTTGGAGATGATTGGCCTCGCTTAAGAAAAGACAGCAGAGGTCTCTCCATTTCTACTGCTAACAAAAGCGTAGCAACAGGAGGTGTCCAGAATTAACTCTTTGTCAGCAGGAGCCCAAGACATCAGCTGTTGGTCGAGGGATGATTAATTTTTATTATTCAAGGGACACAAGGCTGGAAGGATTTCTCTCCCTCTTCACTTGTCAATAAGACACCCGATTGAGGAGGGGGAATGACGATACCCAGTGATGAAATTAACAGGCACATCACTTCATATGGCACAAAGTGAGAGGCCCATTCCTTGCTTTGCAAGAAGATCAAAGAGGAAGGATGTCTTCCAAGTTTGCCCAGAACCCAAACACAAGTCTTTAAAAAAAATCACTCAAAATATAATTGAATCTGATTACAAACACGGGGGATTTTCCAAAAATTCTCTCCTCTCTTGGTGTATATACTAGGAATGTTAAAAACCCTCTCATTTCTTCTCATCCTCAACAGAAATGGCTTCATGAGCCACTGAAGCATCTTTCTAAGAAAAATGACCAATTGTTGCAAGATTTGGGACTTTTAGTGAAAATTTCATTCACATCGAAACTTGCTTACTTTCATGAAACCCACGGTTTTTGCCCTAAAAACCAACATTTGTGCACAGAAAAAAGTGTACTTGGGACAAAACCACATGTTCTCCTGCATTAAAGTGTTGGTTTTGACCAAAGCAAGGGTTTCTTTTGTGCAAACCAATTTTTCATAGAAAGAGTGCCGATGTGCGAAAAAATAATTAAAAACACACCAATCATCCCGAAATACTCATTAACTCATTCGGTGGAGAGAAAAGTTTTGGAATTATTCAGTTTTGAGCACAAGAACAAAATAAACAAAGATTTAGATCTCTAATGCACACACATGTGGATGACATGGAGTGAGAGGCTAGGATTTACACTGCTTAAAATAAAAATCACAATTTTCTCAACAAGCCACAGATTCTTTTCAATAAAAAAGGCATCCTTTTCAAAGCAAGTTGATCACCCATGGTTCACTATCATCCCTTCGTGCTGGCCTTTTAATAAAAGACAATAATGACCCTCTTTTAATAATGACCTTCTTCCTAAGGTTTCCTTTGGAGTCCCTGGAAAATAGGCAAGAAATTTGGAGAGATGGAGATGGAGAGATGGAGAACTTTGAGGAAGGGGTGGGAAAGGCAGAAGCCAAAAAAAGAATAAGAGAGATGCAAACCCATCCACGCCGCAGCATGAACTATGTCTGGAAAAGCAGCAATTAGAGACCCTT